TGCAAATCAAAACTACATAAGATATCACCTTATCCCAATTAAAATAGTTTTTATCTAAAAGACAGGCAGTAACAAATGCTAGCAAAGATGTGGAGCAAAAGGAACCGTCATAGGCTGCTGGTGGTAATACAAATTACCATAGCCACTATAGAGCACAGTTTGGAGGTTCCTCAATAAACTAAAAATAGAGCTACCATATGACCCAACAACCCACTGTTGTGTATATACCCAGTGGAAATGAAATCAGTATATTAAAGAGATACCTGCACTTCCATGTTGGCTGAAGCACTGTTCTCAATAGCCAAGATTTGGAATCAACCTAAAAGCCCATCAACAGATGACTAGGTAAAGAAAATATGGCATATATGTACAATGGAGTACCACTGGGCTGTAAAAAAAGACTGAGATCCTGTCATTTGCAACAACATGTATGGAACTGGAGGTCATTACGTTAAGTGAAATACATCAGGCACAGAAAGACAAACATCACATGTTCGTACTTATTTGTGGGTGCTAAAAATCAAAATTGAACTCATGGAAATTAAGAGTAGAAGTACAGTTAGCAGAGGCTGGGAAGGGTTGTGGGAGGTGGGGTGAAGTGGAGATGGTTAAGGGTGTAAAAAATTATCCTCAGAAAGAATGAATAAAACAGTATTCTATAGCACAACAGGGTGACTAGAGTCAATAATAATTTAATTGTACATTTTAAAATAACTAAAAGAGTACAATTGGATTGCTTGTAACACAAAGAATAAATGCTTGAGGAAACAGATATCCTATTTTCTGTGATGTGATTTATTACTTATTGCATGCCTGTATCAAAGTATCTCATGTACCCCATATATACACCTACTATGTACTCAAAAATATTTTTGAAAATACTTTATTTTCAGTGATATATATATATGTATGTATGTATGTATGTATGTATTATCCACTGTCCCACACAATGATGATACTCCTTTATATTTCCACCAACTGTGCGTAAATTTCCAGATCCCAAACTCTTGAAAATGCCTATATTTGATGGAAAGAGAGGAAACCTTATCTACTTCAAATAATGACTTCAGGGTTAATGATTGAAAACTGTCTAAAAAAATTATTTATCCAATCAATACTTATAGAATTTACCACCGATGCAATATATGGAGAATATATAAAGAAGAAAATAATAATAATAATAGCAGCTGCTACTTGTATGCCAAGAACTATCACAACCTCTTTTCCCATTTAACCCTCAAAACAATTCTATAAGGAAGTTATGTTAATGTTCTCAAGAACAGTTGGATCGACTATGCATCAAGCACTATGTTAGACACCAACTATACATTCTCTCATTTAATGTGATTGAACTCTTACAAATAAATCCTAAGGGAAATGTTCATCTCATTTTATGAAAGAGAACATTTTTCCAGATCTTGAAAATGGTTAAGTAAATTATTCAACGTCTCCTAGCCAGTTGGCATGGAAGTTTACAATCTTCTAGAGATAAGAAATGTACATAAATTAATATGTACCAAGATATAAAATCAATACTGTCAAACATTTACTTACTCCTGATTCTTCAGAATTGCATGTTTTCACCATGTTTTGAAGAACATCAATCAGTTGACATAACAGTACTCCATTATCAAGTTCTTCCAATAATTTTTCTGCCTTAACTTTAATACCTAAAAAAATATTTCCAGATCAGACTCTAAATACTCTTAGAAGGTACAGTTAAATAGCAAATAATGGCAAGTTAACTTAATGATACTAAAATAAAAATACCTGTAATGCAGAAGTACAGAAAAAGAAAATTCACATCAATTTTATTTCATTTAAGATTAAATAAATTAACTGTATGTTAATATTCCTTGCACAAGAAAAAGAGTATCTATAAATAAGATGGACTTGATTGCAATTTTAAAATTAAAGACAATACCATAACAAATACCCAGGGAATACCAACTGTTTACTTCTAGAATGCCTTCTTTAAAAGCATGAATAAAATTACATAATAAACTCTAAACATTATCCATCAAACTGACAATAGATAACTATAGTGGGTATTTGGTATTTAATTACCTTGGAAGGGCTATTAAGATATTCCTTTTCATGAGAACCTGATTAATCCTACATAAAATTATTTAAAGTAAAATTTTTCTGGGGAGAAAGTTTAAAGCATTCAACATATTCTCTAATAGAGTAAAAAATATGATGTCAGACATTCTCCAACCTGACATTTCTTCCTAGGTTTCATATGCCTCTATCGTTCAATGACTCAGAAACTGTAATCATTTTACCTACAGTTTATGTTTCACTCAAAAGTTCATGGCTTATACAAGACTCAGGTGGGTGGGGGAGACATCAGTAAAAAAAAATTAGACCAATACACTTTTTAAAGATTATTTTAATATTTACAATGAAAATGTCGATTATTCAAAGCTTACAGATCTCTTCAGTTAAATCTCAAATTTCCTACCATTCAAGCCCCAAGATTCAGAATGAATCAGGGTATTTCCCCAGCTGAAATGTAAGCTTCGTAAGAGCAAGGGCATTGAATACTTCATTCACTCGAGTATCCCCAGCATCTATAACCACCACTCCTTGAAAAAGAGTAAGGCTCTCAATGAATACGTATTGAATAAGAGAATTCAATTTTGGGTATTGTTGCAAGCCTTACCTAATAAACCAGATAACCAGATTGACAGATCTTCTTGCATGGGCAACAGAGTGGCTTCATGCCTCACAGCTATCCACTCATCGTACTGACAAACATTAGCCAATCCTGGTCCATGTCTGGGAGTCAGAGGACTCCGTGGACTTAGAGGCAGATCTTCTCCAAACCATACCTAAGAAAAATAAAACAATCAACTAAATGAATATAACTTTTGCTAAAAGTCATCATAATCCACATCAGTATTTAAATGATGAAGCATAAATCATACATAATAGACACATATAAAAAACTGCTGTAGCTCACAGCAAATATATAATTTAGAAGTAAACTATTGACATGTAAGACATGTAAGCATTTTCTTTTCTTTCTTTCCTTCTTTTTTATTTTTTCTTTGAGACAGGGTTTCATTGCTGCCCAGGCTAGAGTGCAGTAATGCGATCATGGCTCACTGCAGCCTCGACTCCCAGGCTCAAGCAATCCTCCCACCTCACCCTCCTGAGAAGCTGAGACACAGGCACATGCCACCACATCCAGCTAATTTTTAAATTTTATTGATTGCAGAGATGTGGCTTCCCTATATTGCCCAGGCTGGTCTTGAATTCCTGGGCTGAAGTGATCCTTCTGCCTCACCTCCCAAAGTTCTGGGATTATAGGCATGAGCCACTGCACTCGTCCAAGACATTTTCAATATTCAATATTGTGGTCAATGTAAGAAAACCCCTAATTAATGAATGAATTCTACTATTGAGCCAAGAGAGTACAATTCAACAAATAATATTTTTCCTTCACTTATTATCTGAGTAAGCTTAACAAGTTATTTGACCAGAGTTTTAGCATCTTAGCTGTAAGATGGGTCCTGCCTTACAAAATATACCTTTGTAGCATCTGGCATTGAGCCCAGCAGATAGCAGAGACTCAATCAACATTTGTTGAATGAATAAATGAAGCATAAATAGCATTTTGAAAACTTCAAATCACAATAACAGTGTTATCTTAAAAACAAAAAATTCTAAGTACTTTAGTTTAAAACAAGTGGGTGGCAAACTATAGTCCATGGGACAAATCTAGTCTCACCTGATTTTGTAAGCCCAGAAGCTAAGAATAGTTTTTAATTTTAAAATGGCTGTTATGAGGCCAGGCACAGTGGCTCATGCCTGTAATTCCAGCACTGTGGGAGGCCAAGGCAAGCGGATCACAAGGTCAGGAGTTCAAGACCACCGTGACCAATATGGTGAAACCCCATCTCTACTAAAAATATAAAAATTAGCCGGGCATGGTGGCACGAGCCTGTAATCCAGCTACTTGGGAGCCTGAGGCAGGAGAATTGCTTGAGCCCGGGAGGTAGAGGTTGCAGTGAGCTGAGATCACACAACGGCTCTCCAGCCTGGGTGACAGAGTGAGACTCTGTCTCTAAAAAAAGAAGAAAAAAAAAAAGGCTGTTAGGTAAGTAACTGCATAATATCTCAATTTTGCCTACTGGCCCACAAAGCATGAAATACTACCTCGCCAATTCACAGTTTAGAATAAAAATGGATATTCTTTATAAATTTTATAATTTTATAGATGTTATAATCAACATCTGCAAAATTTTGAAATACAATTAGAGATTCTTTAACGTAAGATTATTTATAGAAAAGACTGTATCAATTCTTCAAATTATAAAAGTAATCATGTCATTATGAAGTCACCTTTTTTAAAACAGATATAAATATCTCTTGTCCTTCCCCTTCTTGAACACTTAGAAAGGATAATATTATTAGAGCCCAAGTGAAATGCATAGGAGATTCTCAGAGCCGGGTGGCTTGGAATGGAGACTCAGAGCTTGAGTGACGTGAGAGGGTGTCTATGTATGGGGGCAGCCCTGTGCAAGATGTCAGACCCTGAGTAGAATAAGGAAGGCATCCACTGGGGGCAAAGGAGGAACATTCCAATACAGAGTGTCAGAGTCCAAGTGAGCTGAGCCTCTACCCAGGGTGCAGGTGGCAGCAACAATAGGAGAATTTATCAACACATGAGGATTTATCAAATGGGAGCCAATCTTCTCACTGAAGAGAGGTTCAAATATGGAATGAGAGAAGTAAGAATGAATCCTTTGGTGTTGAATTAGAATATCTCTTATCTGAAAACAAAGAAACTCTCAAAGAGTGCCAAAAGGATACATAAGCCAGCATGAAGGGACTTCTGCTGAACTGAGGGCAACTTATGCATTGAGATAAATGATAGAAATGGATTATATCACACTGAATAAAATAGGAAACTGTGAGTTAATACAGACACAAATGAACACACTGAAATTTTAACAAGAATGGGATTTTTACATAGTTTCAAAGTACCTGCACACAAAATACTTACTACAAAGGGGAAAAAAAGTAATTTTACAGTTCAGAAACCTGACAGACAGCATTGTAACCAAATGATGGAGATGAACTCCATCAATAATGAAACAAATCAAAATCGTATGCCACCTGATAGGATGCAGTGAGAAAAATTCCTACTAATCATGAAAAAATATCAAGCAAAACCAAACTGAGGGACATTCTACAAAATAACTGGTCTGGAGGTGCTTTCTGTGCTGAGGGCGCTCACGCAAACATGGTGAACGTTCCTAAAACCCGCCAGACTTTCTGCAAGAAGTGTGGCAAGCACCAACCCCACAAAATGACACAGTACAAGGGCAAGGCTTCTCTGTACGGCCAGGGAAAGCAGTATTATGACAGGAAGCAGAGTGGCTATGGTGCACAAACTAAGCCAATTTTTCGGAAAAAGGCTAAAACTACAAAGAAGGTTGTGCTAAGGCTTGAGTGTGTTGAGTCCAAGTGCAGATCTAAGAGAATGCCGGCCAGTAAAAGATGCAAGCATTTTGAAGTGGGAAGAGATAAGAAGAGAAAAGGCCAAGTGATCCAGTTCTAAGTCTCAGCTTTTCTTTTATGAAGATAATAAAATCTTGAGCTTGTGGTTTTTTTTGAAAAAGTATCAAGGTAATTAAAGACAAGCAAAGACTGACATACTGTTTCGGCCCAACGAAGACTAAATAGACATGAAAACTAAATGCAACACATAATTCTGAACCGGATATTATTGGCAACACTTGAAAGCGGTCTGCGTATTAAATGGTAGTACTGCAGCAGCATTAATATCCTGATTCTGATTATTTCATTGTGGTTGTGTAGGAAGATGTCCTCGTTTTCGAGAGATGCACACTAAAATATTCAGATGTAATAGAGCACTGGATTCGCCACTTCCTCTCAAATGGCTCAGGCAAACAAATTTCTCTGTACTACACTTGTAACGGCTTTAAAAAAAAATTTTTTTAACTTATTTTAAAAAAAAGTTTAGGTAAAAGGAATACCAAGTGAATCTAGTCCTTTCTTGATTTTTAAATATAGATCATTTTTCCCTTAAAATGTATTAAACTTACTGAGCTTCATTTGAGACAAGTCTTACTATACCAGATCAAAAGTCATAGCAGTACCATAGGTAATGCAGACAAACTGGTGGCGGGGATGGCGGGGTGGGGAAACTACTTCCAATCTCCTACAATGAGAAATAAGCAAGTTATATTTTTTAATCCCAAGGCAAACAAAGAAAATGAATAAATACAAGAGGCATGCGGGGGTAGAGAAATCTAATTTAAAAAAAAATCCCTGTCACAGACAAAAAAGAAATGTAAGTTATTTAAGAGACATTTACTTCAGGAATTAGGGTAGGGAATGGGAAATGAATTCCTAAATATATGAGGATCCTAGGAATAGGAAAACGATGTTATTTCTCTGAATTCTCTTAAAATTATTTCCAAGGAAGTACAGTAAAGCTTTACTAATTCTTCTCTTTATAAGCATGTCTTACTTCTATTGCAATCCTAGGACTCAGTTTAATGCTTAGCACATAGTATTCAAACATATTTGTTCAATAATTGAGGAATAGATATTAGCACATGACTCTTTGTACCATCAAAATCAAAAAGTATCTTACAATCAATTGTATTTGACAGACAGTGGAATATATTATTCGTTCATTAACCATCTGGCTGAGCTGAAAAAAGGCAGAGCAGATGTAAATGTTTGTCAAGGAAAGAAGAACATGAATTAAGAGGGTGGTTTTTTAAAATCATGTATGAAAATGGAGAAGCTAACATTTAAAAAAAAGTCATTCTTACTTCTTATCACATTAGAGAGAAGAGTACATGTTGGATTTTCCTATTATTGCAAGCAGACAACTTTAGTAATCACCTGGGCTAGTCAGCAGAAATTAGTATTAAAAGTTAGATATTAACAAAAACTGCATGTATGAAGGTTGTTCTCAAAATGCTGAAAGCTGCCATATTGTCATTAAGAGACATTTAATTCATAGGTAACTCTGCAGATTAACTTAGGTACATGCATTTGCTTACATTTAGTCAAAATTTTATGCCTATGTACAAATGGGCCTTTTCACAGAGAGTGATTTCATAGCCTTTGTTAGATTTTCAAACGGAACTGTGATCCCAGAAAGGTTAAGATTGTTCACTGGCTTTTATACTATATATTTATTAATCAGAATGAAGGACACAGATGAATGACAAGAACTATCTTAAAGTATTAAATTAATAAGACATCAACTGATAACAGCTATTCACTTGATGTCTCCTCTCTGCAAGGCACTTAATAACCAAGGAGCTGTCTAATATAATTGGCAGAGAAAGAGGTAGAAATCCTGGGAAGTCCTCACTTTCAACAGCAAAAACCTCCATGAGACATGTGAAGGGAGGATAGTCCTAGAAAAAAAAAAAATCAATGAAGACAGCTCTTGGAATCTGCATCAGAGAAGATTTTATGAAACCATTAGACAAACTGAAATAATCTGCCATGTTAAGAAAATATGAATGGCCATTAGTGTAGAAATGAGAAAAAACATGGGCAATGTGGCAATGATAAAAAAAAAAAAAAACCTCTATAATGAATCAAGAAAATATAATTGATAAGAAACTAATGACATTCCTGAGACTTGGATAAAAACAGGATGAACACAAGTAATCAGTTCAAAAATGATTTTGAGTAATAACACAGTTCTGGGCATATGCAAGTGGATATGAGGGGACCCGAAGGTAAAGAATAAGACCTTTTGGGAGATAGTCATGGACTACCCAGTCCCAAAAAAAAAAAACAGTATGATGGAACTCTATTAGTAGGATAGGAGATTATAGCTGCAGAGTATAGGAAGGTGTACAACAGGGTCACAGCAGGGCTGTTCTTAACTATTTGATAAATTCTCTTCTCTAGGCTGTCATCCATTGTTACATTGATAAGAGAAAGGAAAGGAGAGAAGAGGAGGAAGAGAAGGAGGAGAAGGAGGAGGAGGAGGAGGAGGAGGAGGAGGAGGAGGAGGAGGAGGAG